TTGAACATTCAATAGAGTACAAAACAACAGCATACAGATGTTGCAAATGCACCTTTTTATTATATATGTGTATATTGTACATTGTAAATATGTATATTCTGTAATACAAAAACAAAACCAAAGAGCACCGGAGTCAAATTCCTTGTTTGTATGTACGAACTTGGCAATAAAGCTGATTCTGATACACACACCCATTCAACACCTAAGAAAGCCAGAGTACCCAGAGAGAACACACACATGCACAAGGAGAACATGCAAACTCCATGCAGAAAGACCCCTGGCTGGGATTTGAACCCAAGACCTTCTTGGTGGAAGGCAACAATGCTACCAACTGTGCCACCATGCAACCCTTTAAGAAAGTCTTTACATGGAATAGTTTTCCCCCATTAATAAATGCACTCAAATTAAAGGTCAGATTTATGAAAATGTTTCAGTTAGGGATTGTGATGCTGTGATAAAGATCATTTTATTTTAATGACTTTAGCCTGTCTCTGCCAGGGGTGGATACTATTTTTTCTCATTTTTTAAAAAATGCTATAAACTGAAAATGGTTTTGGCACTAAGAAACCCTTACAAATTACTGCAAAAATGGTCTTTATTAGACATTGAAAAAACAATACCTGATACAATACATTTAATAGACCTGAGATCCAAAGACATTCCTTACAGTTATTTTATTTTACCTTACTGCACTGCACTATGGTAGTTTTTAATATTCTATGGCGTTTCTGGTATTTTTGTCATCTCACTTAAATACACATTTATACTTTAGGCTTCTCTTTGGTTAGCGTTTGAGAGAATTTAGCGAAGAGGGTGAAAGTGGTCATTATGTCCTCCACCAGCCTAAACTTATAACAGCATAACTACAGAGATAGTTTCAGTTTCAGTTCATTTATTTATATAGCGCTTATTTACAACAATGTCGTCTCAAGGCACCCCACAAAGGGTCCAGAACGGTGCGGGGCCGCCGGGGAGGCCAGACCACACCACCGAGTGCCAGAGCCCGGCCACCCCAGAACGGGCCACGTGTAGGGGCACTAAGTAAAATAATAAACTGATAAAGTTTGTCCATCTAGAGCCCACTGATGGCCATTGTTATTCTAAAAACCACAAGGATTGGGATACCTCTCTCTGTCTGACTGATTATAACC